GCACACACGCCCAGCGTGAATTTTAAGCCACCGGGTCCAGGACGCGAACCATGGTCAACTACGTGGGAATCCAGCGACATAGCCATTACGCTAACTGCTGGTTCCGTCCCCTTAAATTTTATATTTGCACCTGCTTCCTTAGCAACACTCCTTATTCTTTTCCCTTCAGTGCAACATTTCTTTCCAAGCAAACTGCTTCACAAACATCCTCCTTCTTTCCATTCCCTGAGCTGTTTTTATAGCCTTAATCCAACTGAGACATCCATGTTTTGAAATTGGTTCTGAGTAGATAATGAATAATTAGTATAGGTTAGCATTTTGAGACAGATCCTAAAAATAAGGTAGCTGATATCTTGCCCTTGCCAATTAAAAGTGAAATTACTTAAACTCTCTTAACTTCTATTTCTTCTTCTGTAAAATTGAAATGCTACCATTATGTTCTCATGAAGTTGTTGAGGGGCAAACATAAACTTGTGTGAAATGCTTGTAGTAATGCCAAATATGCAAAAAATTTAAATAAGTTAACTTTTGATTTTTAATTTTATTGCAAAAAGCTCATTAAATTTACCTTGTATAAATATAAAAACAAATACAGTATATGGTACACCCTTCAGACAGTAGATGGAGGATAATGATACTCATTTTAAACAAATGGGTAAGTTATGAGGTTTTGGGAGATTATTTGTTTTCTCTGAACCAGAACTCAAATATTCTACTGGCCCACCTATAGGGATTACAATTACCCCAACCTTGCCACCTCTCACTCTACACGTCACGATCTGAAGTGGAACAAGTGCTGCTTAGTGTGTAAAATTTCATTCAGGGGCATGATTTTTAGAGAGACTAGAGCATCCATCCTAGAACTTAAAAGTGAGTCGTGAGGCCTGTCTTGCCTCTGCTTCTGGAGGTGTTTAGAGTTAGCACTCATCTGCATGTTCTTTCTCTCAGAGTCTGTTAGTGCTAAGAGGCACGGGGACCCAGTCCCTTTCGTAGAATGGTCATTCAGGTTGCAATGACTCAGTCTAATAACCACACGTCTGGAAGTGTAGACATATCAGCTATACTTCCAAATAAGTATGCGAGTTTAAGGACACTGCCTGTTTTGGGTTTCAATTCTTTGTCTTCAATGTGGGGATCATATAACCTAACTTTACAGCAACGCTCTAGGATTGAATAAGGTAAATCTGAAATAGCTCTAAAAAGAAATTTATGACCATAGTGAATATAAATAGACCAGTCGATGAGGAAGAAAATGAAAAAAAAATCATCAAATACTCTACCTTTCCAAAAGTATCTGATTCTATTGTGTTTATGGTGAATATTTTAGACTTTCAAAGAATATTACACCCCATTTTCCAAACTTACAAATGTGATCCTGTTGGACTATAAATTCTAATAAAGAAACAGCCAAACTGGCATTATTTCTTTTTTTTTTAAAGTTTATTATCATCATAATATTGTTTATATTACATTGAATCACATATAACTTTGCAGCATATTACATTTCTTTTTCCAGAAGGAATACCATGCATATCAGTCAATACAGAGACATTAAAATCCCCATTTCATCATCCAATAGCTTTTCATTATTTTTCCTGATCATTATTATGATTCAAATTATTTTATGATATTTTTAATTTCGATAAGAACAGTTTTAGTGTTTTTTTCCTCCTGAAACTTTTTTTAAAATTAATTTACATTCATTCCCTGAGCATCATCACAACATACTGAATGTGGTTTCCCATCTAGAATAAACTGCATAGTGGCTTAATCATGCATGTTATCATCAGTAATATTCCATTTCTAGTTTCATATATATGTATATATATATATATTTTTTTTTTTAACCCCATGTCTGACCCTCTGCCCTTTCCTACTCTCTTATTACACTATCTCTGCTGTCTACACTTGTCTTCAAATCC